TTTTGTAAATGATGTCTGAGTGTTGGAGTGTGCCCCTGGCTATCTGTAAATAATGTCTGAGTGTTGGAGTGTGCCCCTGGCTATCTGTAAATGATGTCTGAGTGTTGGAGTGTGCCCCTGGCTATCTGTAAATAATGTCTGAGTGTTGGAGTGTGCCCCTGGCTATCTGTAAATAATGTCTGAGTGTTGGAGTGTGCCCCTGGCTATCTGTAAATGATGTCTGAGTGTTGGAGTGTGCCCCTGGCTATCTGTAAATAATGTCTGAGTGTTGGAGTGTGCCCCTGGCTATCCATACATTTTAAAAACAAGAAAATGGTGCCGTCTTTTAAATTATTTATACTTCTCCTTTTGATACTGAAGTATATTTAAAACCGAATACTTTTAGACAAGTGGTATTTTACTGGCTGACTTTCACTTGAGTAACTTTCTATGAAGGTTTCTTTACTTTTACTCAAGTATGACAATTGGGTACGTTTTCCACCACTGCATACTAACATGTTAGCATTTGTGGCACAAATCCCATTCAAGTCACAGGACTGATATTAGCATTTTTCGCACATCATGTTCAAATCATCTGTAAGTGACTTTTTTGAGCTTGGAAACCTATTTTACACTGAGCGTACAAAACATTAGGAACACCTTCCTAATATTGAGTTGAACCCCCTTTTGCCCTCCGAACAGCCTCAATTTGTCAGGGCATGGACTCTACAAGGTTTCGAAAGCATTCCAAAGGGATGCTGGCCCATGTTGACTCCAATGCTTCCCACAGTTGTGTCAAGTTGGCTGCATGTCTTTTGGGTGGTGGACCATTCTCAATACACACGGGAAACTGTTGAGTGTGAAAAACCCAGCAGCGTTGCAGTTCTTGACACACTCAAACCGGTGCTCTTGGCACCTACTACCATACCCTGTTCAAAGGCACTTAAATATTTTGTCTTGCCCATTCACCCTCTGAATGGCACACATACACAATCCATGTCTTCTTCTGTGAGGTTTAACGGTGGTTGGCATCCAATATGTTGCATTACCACCCCCAACTGAACTATAGTATAGATCCATTACACTTTGCGATACAAAATGGGAAAGGGGAACCGAATAATATACATATATTTTAATTACCCTACCAACAAACCCTATACTCATTAAAATGCATCACCTTATTCCACTACTTTAACCCTATGTGATCCTACCCCAGGTCAACAGCCTGAGAGGACAGAACACCACCACTAAACACACGCTGTAACTCTTCTCAAGTCAAATCTCGTACCCCAAGTACTTCTCTGCAGCTGCCACCTCAACATCTATTTTCTGTGATTTACGTTTCATTTCTGCGGTAAAGTCAATAACCATTGCTATGAACACTAAGAAGCCAACCTTATTGAAGCATATATCACTTATTGGCCTATCCCTCTGTGCTGGCACATATCTACTATTCACAGGGAACCTCTCAGAATCCCTCACCCTTGACCCATCCTCCTCTACTTTCTTCACTGCCTCAGCATACGACACCTTCTGCACTGCATTTACATTACATTTTAGTCATTTAACAGACGCTCTCATCCAGAGCGACTTACAGTTATTGAGTGCATACATTTTCATACTGTTCCCCTGTGGGAATCGAACCCACAACCCTGGCGTTGCAAGTGCCATGCTCTACCAACTGAGCTACACAGGGGGCCACTACTCTGACTCGAGCCACCTCAACCTCCCTCTGTCGCACCGGACACTTCTGATCCCCAGCAACATGTGCATCCCTACAGTTGACACACACACCTTTATCCACCGAAACTACACAATCCTCTATCCCATGCCCTCCTGCACACTTCCCACATCTTGGAATCTCCTACCTACACACTGCTGCGACATGACCATAAATGTTGCACCTGAAACAGCGCAGTGGATTCACCACAAACGCTCGAACAGGATAACTGATATATCCTAACATGACCTTGTCGGGTAAAGACTCTGACTCAAAACGACTGACATTGACTCTTCTATTTCACCACACTCACCACCAGGTCTGCATCGCATCAAACGGCAGGCATCACAAACACCAGGAATCTTCAACTTCAATTGCTCCACCTCCACACTTAACGCTACCCCAGAAATCACTCCTTTCAATAGTGCCCTGTTCCTAAGAGCAAAGCAAGAAACAGATCTTGACCCAAGTTGCGTCGCACGGAGCGCCTGCTCCCTCTGATCTGAAGAAACACAAAGAAACATCACAAGTCCACTTCGGGTTACCTTTATCGACTCAACAACACCCACCATCGTTTCCACCCAACCTGAAACCACCGATGGATCAGCCAAAAGGCCTGGTTCCACCCTCTTCAAAAATCTCACTCCCACTGGACCAAACGTATCTTTATCATAACCATGTCCATCAATGCAAGGCTCGGGCTCCGAGCTCCTCACAACACCTTCTACCCCTTCCATTTCACTTCCAGAACTCAAAGTGGCGTCCGGCTCACTCTGTTTGAACTTGACACCAGTCTTGCTCGACATACCCACTCCCTTGTTATTGCTAGCTTCAACAGATTCAAACCCATTCTCTGCCTCCCTCAGTCTTCTCAGTATTCAACTTTTCCAAGCCGACATCTCTTTTTAGCGAGATACATGCTAAGCCCTGTACTCACTCCACTTCTTCTTCGATGGGGTTTAACGGCGGTTGGCATCCAATGTTAATGGTGCATTACCGCCACCAGCTGGACAGGGTATTGAATAAGAAACTAAAAAACCATTCCGGGAAGGGGGTAAAACGACATCATACAAAATGAAACGCATCAACTAAGAAAACCCATCCCACTTCTTCAATCACAGTCCACGCCAAAATACATCCCTACACAGGCTCAGGGGCCTGTGATGGCAGAACATTCACCGACAGGATTTCTTGCGCGGCCTCGGCTGTGAAATCACGAAGACCCCAAAAACGTTCAGCGGCATTCACAATTATTCAAATTTTCTTAGACTTCTTCTCCGCTTGTGCTGTACAGTTTATAACCACTGCAATAAATAATACAAAGTCCACCTTTTTAACATGTAGCATTTCACTATCCCTCCGTTGATGAGAACCCTTCACTGGTCGCTCTACTACCATTGTTTCTTCCCCGCCACTCGTTCCTTCCAATCTTCTCACCGCCTCCAGATAGGAGACACGCTGGACACTCCTTACCCTTGCCACCTCATTCTCCTTCACCCTAACAGGACACTCCTTACCCTTGCCACCTCATTCTCCTTCACCCTAACAGGGCACTCCAGGAATTCAGGTGTATGTTCACCTCCACAGTTGCAGCATTTCACTTCATCTGGCATACGATACTCTTCCCTTCTGCACACACTTGACACATGGCCAAGTCTTTTACATGTATGACACTGAAGGGGCTTGTGCACAAAAGCTCTTACAGGGTATCTCATGAATCCTAACTCTATATGAGAAGGGAGAGACTCTTCATCAAAGAACAGTAGCATGGATGAAGTTAACTTATTTTCTCCATCCACCAAACCGGTCAGTCGACGTGCACCAACCACTCCATCGATTTCCTCAATAATATCATCTTCCTTTATTTCTTGCGCCAAACCAGAAATAACCCCCTTGACAGGCACCTTGCTACGAAAATCCATACAGGAAACATTCCACCCCGATATCTTTTTGAGTCATAAAACACGCTTCTTATGCTCCGCAGACAAACAAAAAATCAAAAGAAGACCACTTTCACCTGGATTCACCTGGTCATGTCTATGTCATGGAAAGAGCAGGTGTTCCTAATGTTTTGTACACTCCGTGTAGATACTTTGGGGTGATTTGGACATGATGCGTGAAAAATGCAAAGACCATGACTTGTGCCACAAATGCTAACACGTTAGTATTTGGAAACAGTGCCAGGGAAACTAAACCAAGCATGGATTGCTGTCATACCTTGTCCATGGACTGCTTATGTAAAGGACGTCACACTGCTTGCTTAGCGAGTACCACTTCCTCCCGATTCTGCCCATACCTGGCGCGAACTCGGGAGCTCTACCTCACAAACACCGCCCTCCTCAAGCTTCTCAGTCGATCGTGCCACCTCAAAAGCTAGCTGATGAGGCGACGCAAGAGGGACACAGGCTGAGGAGTAAGTTTCACACATCCCCACGCGCTACACTTACAAGGAAACCAATATGCAATTGTGTAATTTGGGTGAAATAGCCCAAATAATGATAATCCGTCTCTGTCAGTGGTGTAATGCAATTTTTTTTTTATTATGTCATAATTTATCAATCAAATTGTGTACCGACAGATGTAGGCCTAGCCTATTTAATATGATTATAGAATATGCATAAAATGCATCCTCCAATTGCCTATGCCCACATATATTGTCTCAGGAAAATGGTCTATTTTTAATACCCTCAATCACCAAGTTAGGCATACTTCGTTTCAAAATAGGCCATCATCGCTGTCAATCGTGAATGATAATTCTTCACATTTTACCGGTGAAATGTCCAAACTGCGTCTGTATGCCAATCATTTGATCTCAATCAGTTTCATGGGAATATGCATTTAGATCTTCTTGAATTACTGTTTCGTGAGCGAATTAGAACTGATGGTGTTAACAAACTGTTAGCCTGTATTTTGTTTTAATCAAATAATATATCCTTCCTAATGGCACCCGCTGTTGAGTGTTGGCAGCATGAGGAAAGAAATGTGACTATTCAGCTTCAGCTAACCATCATAAAATCTCACTAGAAATGAAGAGGTGTTTTTGGTGTAACAGTAACATTATAGGCCTACTATGCTATGCTATTTTATTAGGTTCTGTTATGTAAAATACTAATTAATCATTTTGTGATCTTGCGGGACATTGATTCAGCTTCAGAAACCATTTTCCAGATATATATTTGACCAGCTCTGTGTATTCTCACATTTAAACGAGTGAGGGAGCTGCGCTCCAGCAGCACTACATCCCTGGTCTCTGAATGCATCTGTTTGCTGAAGTATTGAGCAGTGAGAGGTACAATAAGAGATGCCTCCATTATCTCCACTAACTCTTACCATGCTCCCTCCACAGCTGTCGTTCGGTTTGCATAAGGTTCAGATGAAGTTCCTCCACCTCTTGAGCACAGAGGCCAGTCAGGGCATTACCTTCCACTGTCTGAGTGACCCTCCTTTCAGCCCCACGAACGCCTACAGCGCTGATGACCCAGGACAGGAGTATCAGGTCAGACCACCGAGGTTCAGGGGATGGAACGGACAGATGTTTGAGGCAGACACTCTACTTGAACCTCACGTGCTACTAGATGAATGCAGGGTAAGGAGCCGGAGAGAGGAAGAGATATATGATGCTTTCACTTCAGACCTGAGGCTGTATTCATAAAACATTTCAAAGTAGCATTGCTGATCTATGATCAGATACTCCCTGTCCATGTAATCTTTTTCATTATAAACTAAAAGGCAAAACTGATCCTAGATCAACACTCCTACTTTGAGACTCTTTGTGAATACGGGCGTCCATTGTGTGTCAATGACTTCATATTGTATATTTTCCCTTCTAGATCCAAGATGGCAGCTGGCACCAGTCACGCTTTTTCTTCCATACTCAGGACAGCTACGAGCTCCCCATCATTGATATACAGGAGCGACCGTCGTCACAGCCCAACGACCTGCGCCACCTCGAAGTGGGACCTGTCTGCTTCCTGTGAGGTCATCATCCATCGCTAGCCTGTCTGTCCAAAATATAAACTATAAAAAACCGAGCATGGCATAAGCAGGCCAAAATGGCTGCTCCCCAAACCAAAGAGAATCTCTGTAAGCCCAAGCAGAGTTGGTCAGGTCTACTCCCCCACTTGGGATGCCCTTTATGGAGTGTTTGTGAGTGACAAACGCCCTGTCCAATCGATGGCAGACTTTTGCGGAAGAACTCAGTCCACAGGAAACTAGGCCAGCTCAGGAGAGCAGTGTATACCAATATTTGTCAAATAAATGTGTAAAGTGTGTCTGTTTTGTTTCTGTTTTTCAAAAGGTGCTTGAGTTCGTTGGATAGTTGGTCCCTGAACTCAGGATAGGGCTCATCCACACAACACCCTCCTAAAACTCGAATCCTGTACCTCCCTCCCTACTGTACCTCCCACCCCCTCTTCCTTCTCCCCCATAAACACCCTTCCAGCCATCCTCAGAAGGGGCCTAGCTATCTGAAGGAAAGCTCTAGGGGCTTTGTAACAGGAATACTGTACAACCAAAGCGTCATAAGAGTGCAATAGCTTGTGAATTAAGAGTGAGAGATTTCATATTGCATTTTCAATCAAAGGTCAACCGCCAGCTCGGACCGCCATTTTGTTTATTTTTAATGTTTGAATCTGTTGTCCAACACAGCTGGACGTTTACACCTTGGGTAAGTCCAAAATGGCACCCTATTCCCTATGTAATGCACTTGGTTTAACCAGGGCACATAGAGCTCAAAATTAGTGCACTATATAGGGAATAGGGTTCTATTTCGGACACAGCCCTTGAAAGATGGTGCTCTACCTCCTGCTTGTATGCCTTCTAAGTATAGGTGCTTGTGTCAAGTAATTTTTTTGTCCTTATAAGTTGTATGTACCGGTTACATCAAGATCTGTATCTGTGTAAGAGTACTTATTTGAAATATATTTGAAATGTATATGAAACATTTGTTGATAAATTACATTTTTTAGCTTTTACTTTTAATTTTTATTTGGTAGGAGGTAACCTATCATTGGTGCTGCAACAGACACAAGAGCGTGAGACATCAGTGAGTTGTGAGACATTTTTCCTGTGTATATTTTGACATTATATAGTTGATTATTTATATCCTTTGTTTTTGTTCACATTACTGTACCCCAATAAATTATACTCTCAGAGATCTATTTGGTCAACTCCAACTTAGTCCAAATAACTATTTATGTAAAAATGTGTATTTGTATACTATGTACACACATTATGTGACTGTTCATTGTATATGTTCACATTCACTACAATGGGGATTGATAGCTCATACTGGCAGCTAGCATAGGCCAGAGTCAGAACACATCAGAAATAGCAACGATCTTGTTCTTAAGTTATGTTACATTGAAAAAAGTGTAATTAAATAAGTAAATGCTCTCGAAGAATAAAGTTAAAATTGTGTAAATATGAAATATGTTGACATTAAATAAATGAAATGTTTTAATCCCAAAATAGTAAATACCGTCTTGTTATTTTGTTGACGTTCATAACAGTATTTCTGAAGTCCAACAGTGACCTGGTTAAAAACTGCAATTAGAGAAAGCTACTTATCATAAACAGTACAACTTCAGATTTCCCATACTCATAAGTCTGTATTATTTGTTCGCTCCAAATTCGGAGAAGTCCAAGTCCAACACGCCCCACTGGCATCAAACTTGAAAATCTGTTTTTCATTGAAACGTTTTGAATTCTTGACACCCGCTCTCCCAGTTCCAATAACATTTAAACTTCGCTGGAAGCTGTATAGATACTGATAACAAGGAGAGTTACTGGTAACAAGGAGAGTTACTGATTTCCTATTAAAAACAATGCGTGTAGGCTACATATAAACATCACTTGGGCTTTTCCTTCTTTACAAAATGTGATGTTTTATAAGACACACAAGTTGATTAAATTACCATGACAACACCAGCAGGGACAACACAATACTGGCGTGGACCTTTAAACTTCACAGAGATGCTATGGCATGACAAGCCCTGTGTTCCCATGGATAGGGACAAAGCAAATAAACTATGAGAAACAAAATGGCTGACTTCTCTTGAGATAGATACTGAGAACAGTTTGGTTTCAAGATGTTTGCTCTTGTTTGACCCGCCTTGGAGACTGTTGCATTTGTCTCCTCCCAACAAAGATACAAGAAAAACAATGCATATTTCGTTATTGTCTTTTCATCTCCCCTGGGCCTGGTCAATATGGGTTAGAATGGCTTTAGTTTTAAAATGGTCAGCTTCAGTCCTCAGAACAACACAGCTCCTATTGAAATACATCGGCCTACACACACACACGCAGCGTAAGAGAGAAAGAGGCTGGCTGGCAGACTGATATGCAGCATATGATAGAGAGATAATTGAATAGAGCGAGAGAGATCTTCCACACATCAAATGTCCTATATTACATGAATACCAACACCAGGGGGCGCTTTTGTGCTTTGTCAAGCCAAACCGGAATACATCCGTCACATATTTTCTCCACGTGAAGCGGAAGACGGTAAACTTCAGACCGCTTTGATTGAAACAGAGCTGCGAGACAGTAACTTATATAAATTCGTACACGTTTGTGTGCAAGTATGCTGCCTTCAGTGGATACAGTCGCAGCTGCTGAAAGCCAAGTCGAGAATGACAGTCTGGGAGACGAACTCAAAGGAAAGAAAAGAAAAATATCCCTGTCAAGGTAATTAGGAAGGCAGCTAGCTAGCTAAGCTAACGCTTGGTGGGCTAGATGGTGGCTAGCTCAATAACACAGAAAGCTAGCTTACCTAGCCATAGTGATTACTACTAGCTTACCTTACTGTGTCTCTGAATGTATGTAAAATAATTGTGGCTGGTTATGTTTGTAGCTAAAATAACAAGCTATCAGGAAAGCACATGGGTACCCACGTGCTGTGATGTCCACGCCCCTTTGAGGCTGGTGATGTTGAGTGTTTGTTGAACATGACTTCTCATTTAATCTCTACAGTTGTGGTGTGTGTGGCTCTGAAGAGGCGAATTATAGATGTCCCGGCTGTCTCAAACAATCATGCAGGTAAGAGGAGAGACATCTGGTGCATCTCAATAGTATAAAGTGGCTTGCTCTCCCTTTAATCATCTGCACTGATGGGAAAGACAATGGAAAGCTCTCAATTCTATATTCCTCGTGTCCTTTCTCCTCGTCTCCTTCTTAAAACTCAAGCTGTTTACAAGACTATGGCTGTATGTATCCCAAATGGCTCCTTATTCCCTATAGGCCTATTGCGCTACTTGGGCAGTACTTTTGACCAGAGTCTATCGGGCCCTGGTCAAAAGTAGTCTACTATACAGGGAAAAGGGTGCCATTTGGGGCTGAACCTATCTCCCCAGGTGTTTAACAACATTCTCTACTTATTTTAATATCAAGATGGAACCAATTTCTCTTCAGGTTTTTATAACATAATAATGTCAGTGATTTGGTGGTGGGCTAGACTGCACCACCTCCAAGGTCAGAAATGGATTGGGTAACCCTTCTACAGCCAAGACAACAGTAAAGCTGAACATCCTTTGATTAGGCCTAGGCTATGTAACAAAAATGTGAAGGTAGTCTATTCTTGAGCACTGTCCGTGTAGGTATGTGTAGTGTGAAGGTATGTGCGAGTAAGACAATGCTATTTTTGATAGATGGACATGTCCAGGTGATTCTTCTCGGCCGTGGTATGAAGCTATCAAATCCAAGTCCCAGAAAGCAAGTGAAGCCTACTTTGAAATACCTTTCAGCTTTTAATGTCAGTCTGAATGGCACTATCAAAATTGCACCTGCACATCTCAATAAGATTTGAAAGAGGTCATTTGCACGTTTCTAACGTCTCCCCATTGTTTTGCCATTCCTCAGATAGTTTGTGGAGATGGTCTGAGAGCCCCCGGCCAAGTACCTCTGTCAGCAAGTGTCTGAAGTGGATTGTGATTTGTGAATGTCTGTGTTTGGATCACATCCCAACTGTTCATTAAAAGAAACTAGGCCCTAGAGAAAACCAATCAAGATCCCTTGACATTATTATGGACGTTTCTTTTAGATACCGCAATCCTACCACGGATGAAAATGGGACTACAGATTAAAATTAGCTACACTACATGACCAAAAGTATGTGGACACCTGCTCGTCGAACATATCATTCCAAAATTCCATTAATATTGAGTTGGTCCCCCCTTTGCTGCTATAACAGCCTCCACTCTTCTGGGAAGGCTTTCCACTAGATTTCTGTATGGACCTCGCTTTGTGCACACAGGCATTATCATGCTGAAACAGAAAGGGCCTTCCCCAAACTGTTGCCACAATGTTGGAAGCACAGAATCGTCTAGAATGTCATTGTATGCTGTAATGTTAAGATTTCCCTTCACTAGAACTAAGGGGCCTAGCCCGAACCATGTAAAACAGCCCTAGACCCTTATTCCTCCTCCACCAAACTTTACAGTTGGCACTATACATTCGGGCAGGTAGCGTTCTCCTGGCATCTGCCAAACCCAGATTCGTCTGTCAGACTGCAGGATGGTGAAGCGTGATTCATCACTCCAGAGAACGCGTTTCCACTGCTCCAGAGTCCAATGGTGGCGAGCTCAGAATGATGGAGGCCACTGTGTTCTTGGGGACCTTCAATGCTGCGGAAATTTTTTGGTACCCTTCCTCAGATCTGTGCCTCGACCCAATCCTGTCTCGGAGCTCTACGGACAATTCCTTCAACCTCATAGCTTGGTTTTTGCTCTGACATGCACTGTCAACTGTGGGACCTTATATAGACAGGTGTGTGCCTTTCCGAATCATGTCCAATCAATTGAATTTACCACAGATGGACTCCAATCAAGTTGTAGAAACATCTCAAGGATGATCAATGGAAACAGGATGCACCTGAGCTCAATTTCGAGTCTCATAGCAAAGGGTCTGAATACTACACTTGCAAAAATTTCTAAACCTGTTTTCGCATTGTAATTAT